CCCCCCCAAAATTTGGGGGGTAACCCCCCCCCCCCCCCCCCCCCCCCATTCAGGGGTCTGGGCAGCCCCTCCCCCACCCGGAGCTGCCGCCCCTCCCCCCACCATGGCCGAGGATTTGGAGCCGCTTTTGGAGGGCGAAGGATTCCTGGATTTATGGAAAATGTGAGTTTTTGGGGAAATTTTGGGGGTTTTTTGGGGTGTCCTCAGTGATTTTTGAGTTTGATTCTCCCCCTTTCAGGCTCCCCGATAACATCGGCTCCATCCCCGAGGATCTGCAGGAATGGGTGAGTGTTCGGGGCACTAAAAAATGGGTTCAAATCTCCCAAAAATGGGTAAAAAATTCTAAAAATTATTCACGGGGGGGGTGGAGAACCCGAAAAAGGACAAGGGTGGTGGAAAAACCCTGCCCAAAATGGGGTTTGGAGCCCCAAAATTGGGGTTTAGCCTCAAAAATGGGAATTTTTTTGCCCCAAATTTCCTGGGATTCCTCCTCAAATGGGACCCGAAACCGCCTCAAAAGGGAATTTCACCCCAAAAAAAATCCCAAGTGTCCCAAGATTTCCCCAAAAAGGGGATTTTCCCCCAAAAAAGGGCTCCAAAACCATTCAAAAATGGAATTTTCTCCCAAAAAAATCATCCCAAATGCCTCAAAATTCCCCCAAAAATTAATTTATCCCCCCAAAATGATCCCAGCTCCCCCAAAAATGACCCCAAAATCCTCCAAAAAGGGATTTCCCCCCCAAAAAAAGAGTCCAGGATACCCCAAATCCCCTCAAAATGATCCCAGAAAATCAATTTCTCCCCCCAAAAAATCCCAAATGCCTCAAACTCCCCCAAAACGACCCCAAAAAATCAAAATTTCCCCCCAAAATGACCCCAAAAATCCAATTTCCCCCCAAAAAATGACCCCAAACCCCCTCAAAATGACCCAAAAACCCCCAAAATGACCCCAAAAAATCAAATTTTTACCCCAAATGCCCCAATCCTCCCCAAATGACCCCAGATAATCCAATTTCCTCCTCAAAATATCAAAATTTCCCCCCAAAATGACCCCAAAAAT